GCACCGTATACGAATGTTTCCATGGTGAGCTCTTTCTCTGGATCTAAATCTGATCGAACATGTTTGGGACATGATTGATCTTAGACTTCAACGTTATCCGACTAATGTTATCCGACGTTAGTAAAATCGTTACATAAGCTTTTTTTAATATAATAAACTTAACTCTTTTTCTATTAAATAAAGTGATATCTTTCGGAATTTTTGGCTGCCAAACTACTTTCACTTTAATCTTTTGCCTAAGTTTAGAAGATATATTTATTTATTTAAAAACACATTTGTTCATAAGAAATAACGTCTGCCATGTCTTTCAACAACGTTGCCATGTGAAGTTGGTTGACACGATATCCACCCTTGAGACGATTTGATACAGAAAAATCAAATGGTGTTCTCTTTTATATACATGTGATTATCCTCTGGACTAGAATTAAGCAAAAAAAAAATTATTGATAAAATGGCGCCTAGTTAAATTAAAATAACCGATTTTGCTCTTAAAATCGGTAAGTTTATTGCAAAAAAAAGCATATGTATACAGGCTGTCCGATATCTTCCACATCAGAGCATTATCCGGTTGTAGGATACATTATTCTGAAGCGATCGTTCTAATAAAATTTTTCCGAAATGTTTATAATAACCGCACGGGAATTGTTCAAACGAACTGTTTTTTGTCCAATCAGCAGATCGCAAATCAGACTCAGGTAATCGGTACTCACCAATAGATTCGTCATGGAAAGAGAAATAAACTTTTTCGATGAATCAAAGTCGTCCGTTATTGGTAGTCGTTAAACAGTTCCCGTGCGGTTATTATAAACCTGTCGAAAAAAATTTATTAGAAAGATCGGTTCAGAATAATGTATGCTACAACCGTATAATGCTCTGATGTGGAAGATACCGGACACCTGTATAAGGTATCAGTTTCTCTCTAGGTCAAACGATAGAAAGTTGTAAAAAGTACGTTTCGAGAAAAATGCATTTAAAGTTTTAAGTACAAATTGTGAATTTATACTCAATACTTGGGGCTAATCTGCTATACCAAGGCCGTACACTATTCCTTCTTCTTGCTCGTTGAAATATTCTTTCTCCTGTTGGTGAAAATCTTTGTTGAGTACGAGCTTCTTTTGTCGCTTGAAGGCTGCGACAAGCCGATTGCTCCAAACGCTTTTCATCCCGAGAGTTGGCATAAATTTTAGTCTGCTCACCAATTTCAATTCCCATTGTTCTCATTGCTTTTAAAATATCGAAACAGCCTCATTAAAAATGCTGGCTGCTATATAAGCGGATATTTTAACTGTTTTTAAGCCACAGTGTAGATGTTTGTCTTTTCTTATTGTCCTATAAATAACTTGATAACTATTGCAAATAGGTATAGGACATGCTTTATAAAAAAGAAACCTTATTACTTGGCGAATAATTTAAGATAAAAAAATATGAGGCATTCCATTTAAAAAAAAATGAAATATAGCTATTTCAAGTTTCTGGTATTGAGTACAATATTACGAACACCTGTAGAAGGTTACCAGATTTTTATAGGGGCATGAAGTTACTGTAACTATGCACTAAAAATCTACAAAAGATTTGCTTTGTAGGGTCTTAAATAAATTAGGTATGTTTTCTTTTATAGACACGTGCAGACAGAGATTTTTTCACAAAATATTGAAAATTTAAAAATCTGTAAAATTTTGGTATAGGTAATGCTTAACAAAAAGTATGTCGAATTTTAAGGGTAATTCAAAAATGTAATAAAATATGGGGTGTTCCATTTAAATTTACGAAGTTCTACCTTGTACTTTGTTTTTGCAACACTCTGTATAAACAAAAATATTTTTAGGTTATGCACCTTCGAGCTCCAAACAACTTTATATATAAACATTTTCTTCTAGCGACACCCTGTAAGGAGATATCGTCCGATATCGCACTAATTGGACACTCTGTATATGCTGCGGATTTTCGTTTGACGATAATTTGTGGTAGTAGGTTGCCCATACATAGGATTCGGAATACCGACCGAAAATTGAATATTATTTCCGAGGGGTAAACCGCTAGTTCAAATTTTGTACACCTACTTCCCCTTTGACAAATAATTCCTTATACTTCCTACTTATATTCCTAGTATTTCCCTGTACTTCCGTGTATTTCCTCATAATTCCTTATACTTCCCGATACTTCCCCGTACTTCCGTGTACTTCCCCGTAATTCCTCTTACATACTCGTACCTCCTCTCCCTTCGGACGNGAGATAGAAAAAAAGTAGCTTACATGTCATGATCTCGTTTTTCGAGAAAATGCTAATGCCGAAAACTCCGACCAGCTATCGTCTTTTGTTTTCGCCCTATCGGCAAAAACTGAAAATTTTGCGAAAACGATAATCACGAATATCTCACTTATTATCAAAGATGGAGTATTGTAAATAAAACATTATGTGGGCTACTTTTTACGAAGAATTCAGTCGCGTAGGTAGAATTTTTTTCCCATCTTTTATTTTCGAGATTTTAGACATAACTTTATTTTTTTAAATGGAAACCATAGTTGGCTATGACCTAAAATAATTTGTTATTTTCTTCTGATAACAAATATATATAGTTTGTGGGGTATATTTCTTACAGTTATTGAATAATTCACAAAAATTCATTTTGTTCTATCTAAAACTAATGTATGTATTTAAAAGTTAATGTTGCTATGGTGATAACCATACATACTATGATGGAACATAATGTATCAAATAATTGCCAAAGTTTATATTTAAAAATTCGATAACAACTCTGGAATTATGTGCTGGTACGCAGCATGTTAAGTGTCAAAGTATAACAAAACTGAATAAAACCTTTACAATGAATTTCGAAAATTATGAAAAATGTATCATGATGGAATGCTATATGTTATCAGATAAGAATGCGACGTTAGCCGCGGAATTATATTTCACAAGGTATCCGGAACGAAGACAACCGCACCGTTCATATGGATCCAATTATAACATTATTATCAGATCCAATTATAACATCATTTCATAGCCAGAAATCGTGGACTAATGCAGAAAGAAAAGATTTTTTATCGTCAATTGCAACTCACATTGAAATTGTAGAACAGTGTGAAGAGGAAGAAAAATAAATATGGGTATAAAAAAAAATTTTAAACAGTACGTTAAAACACTAAATTTGCTAATGGGTTAAAACATATTTTATGGTTATCATTACATTATTAAACATTTGTCACAAATTAACACAGAAACAAAGAATAGCGTAGTTTACTCTATTATTGCAAATAAAATAGTAAGAGTATTTTTTAACTGCTACTTTTTCGAAGAAAAATGTGGGTTCCTATTTTAAAACGTCAACTTAGACATGGTATCTCAATTTTGGGACACCTGTACATTTCAATTTTATCTGAAAAAAAGGGCGTTAAAAAATATAATATAGATGTCCAAGCTTTTTTCTGGAAGAATATCCCCCGAATTTTTATTGAATTGTGAGCTATTTTTGCCAAAAATTTAAGTTATTCTAAGTCCTAAGTGTTTTGGTTTATTTTGTTTTATTATCATTGTTGATGTTTCATTAATCCGTTAGCTTTTAAATACGCCTCAAAAGTAGTTTTGGTTCTAGGTAATAACATTTTTGGGCTATCTTATTTGTTTCCTAAGGTAACTTGATCCGATTAAGATATACGAATTTTTAACATTTTCTTCTATAATTCGAGAATGGATGGAGATATCGAGATGCGGTTTTCACTAATATTTAGCAAATTTTATAGTGATTAAGGGTCTGTGAAGAAAATAAGGATTTTTTTCCCAAACCTCTAGGCCTTACCGTTGTCGAGATACAGCCCACAGCCGCTCCGTACGCTTAACGGGACACCTGTATACAAAGAAACATAAAAATTAAATTTCCTGACTTGATCATCCCATTGGAATGGCATTACTACTAGCTAATCCTAAACCCTATGGACTATTTTATGTGGAGAATCCTGGAAAAATAGGCTATTCTAGCTTTAATTAAAATTCATGCCAAAGAAACTTTTCTCGCAAGCCTGTATTTGTAAGATAGCTAGCGTAAATTTGTTTGGCGACATGCCTCAAATTCTTCAACTTTTTGTCCCAGTCTTATTTCCTCATAACCATATATGTATGTAAATCGAAGGAAAGACAAAAAGATCAGGTAAAGATTGATTAATAAGATTAATTTTAAATATTTTCAAAGAAATAATAGATATTTTAAAGCATCGCTAATTTACCGACAAAATATTAACCTAACTTTATAAGTTTATGTATCCAACAATAGATGGCGCCAGAAACACTTTTCAGACAAAATCAACAAGAATTTTATACTTTTTTCATTAAATTGATACCTTTAATTCCTTTGAACCTAATAAATATTACGTTTTAAACATATTTTATGTTTTAGTAATAAAAATAAATCAACCTTACTTTTTATCCTTACTTTGCAAAAAACGTTTTCAATTAGCATATTTATGCTGATATTAACATTAAATAATCTATGCATATAGACATATCCAATTATTGATTATAACTCGTTGTGGATACCACTTTTAACATTTCAAATGTATTCAAATCAGCACCAATATTATCCAACTCCTGCGTACTTGAACTTATTAAGGCGACCAGAACACGGTACATTCCACGTAGAAATCATCGTTTTGGTCGGGTACCTTGTGATTCATAGTAGGGGGATCCGTTCGAACCAAAAATTAGCAATTTAAACAAGGTTCGCGATAAGAAAAACAAACTTTTCTCATTCACTTTAAGTGGTTTTAAAAGCGATTCTCGACCCATAAAAAGCTTTTCACCTTGAGTGTACTTCATTGTTTTTATTTTCCTTTGGCACAAAACTAAATGAAATATAAAACTTTATTATTAAATAATATATATCAAACGTTGATTTTAATGTTTGTTTTATCTTTATTTGTACCTTTAACTTAATTAAATAAATATCCCCACTTTTATTTAATTTTTTTTCTAGAGATAATTTAAAGTTCCAAAACGTTTCGTTTCGATCCTTGTTTTCACTTGGACATATTAAGTTCAATGGGCGTGTTTCTTATTTACTCTTTGGAGTAAATAAGTTCTTTTATGTATAATTTCTTTAGTACTCGGTGTGAATTTTAAATCTATTAAACTTGCTGGGATAAAAGTGGATGTAGAGGTGTGACATGTGCGGGATGTAAAGAAAACGGTACCCATTCACAGTTTACAAAAGAAACGGTCGCGGAACGCGTTATTTTTTTCTCTTCGTTCTCATCTTTAAGACTTCATTCAAGGTGTTATAATAACACAATGTAGTGCACTTTAAATTAGATACACACATCTACAATTTGATACAATGGCAGCTAGTCCATCTGATATTGAGGAGTTCCTTCAGGGGCCCCTCGTTACTTGGTTGGGGACGTGTATTAAAAAACCAGAACAACTTCAAGTGTATGAAACGTTTTTCGATGGGGGCCCTATTAGTGAAGTTTTGTTACAAATTGATCCTGAACCAACTCTTCCTGTACCTACAGCTAGTAATCTACAAGGATTAAGTGTTATGGTGGCTAGAATAAAAATTTTTCATTGTATTATTAAAAACATTAAGAATATTTACGAGGTAAGTCAAGTTTTATATAATTAATTATAAAGTTTAAGGTTTAATTATGTTCTTTTAGGAGGAACTTGGGCAGTTTATAGTAGCCTTACCGGATTGTGTTGCAATTGGGAAGACTCCGGCTTCTTTACAAGCTTTGGAACATTTACGATTGCTTTTACTGTTATTACTTGGCTGTGCCGTACAGGGACCAACTAAAGAAGTTTTTATAACCAAAATTAAAGAGTTATCACTTGAGGCGCAACATGATATTGTTGAATGTATTAAACAGGTTAGGTTTCTTAAATAAGTGAGGTTATGTTTACTTTTAATTGGGTTTTTTTTGATTTTAGGTCACTGATGATCAAAATGTGGTTTTAACTCATGATTTTACTGAACAAACCACAGATAAACTTTATAATCATTTGCGCAGTTTAGCTTTAGAGCGAGATACTTTATTCCATAACTGGATTGTAGACTTAGATCAAGAACCAGCTGTTAATGGGGCCCCCCCAAACGTTGAAGGGATCCAATCTAATCATTTAGCAGTTGAATTAGCCGATTGGAAGGCGAGATTGCGGAAATTAAGACAAGAACTGTAACTTAACCTCAAAAAAATTGAGCTTTTTGTTAAATTTTTAATTTTTTTGTATTTTAGTGATGAAAAAACCGAATTATTAACAGAATGTCGTGAAGAATTAGAACACACAAATCAAGTTGTTACAAAATTAAAAACAGAAGTAAATTGACACAATTTTTTAACAAAAATGTTATTTTTGATAATTTTTTTTTAATTTTAGAATGGGGATTTAATTTTAGAAGCTCGCAAAGCGAAATTGTATCGAGACGAAGTAGACGCAATGCGTGAAAAGGCTGAAAGAGCAGATAAACTTGAATTTGAAGTGCAAAGATATCGAGAAAAGCTCGCAGACGCTGAATTTTATAAGGTTAGAGTGGATGAATTGAGAGAGGACAATCGGGTGTTATTGGAAACACGAGAAATGCTTGAAGGTCAATTGATAAGAGCCAGACAACGTACAGATCGTATTTTAGAACTAGAAGCCGAGTTATTAGCTGCTAAACAAAGCATAAACGACGTTGCGGTCGAAAGAGACGCAGCAAAAGAGCGCATACAAGAATTAATGGACGAAAATTTACAATTACAACAAGTAACTAAAGACGCCTTACACGAAACAAGCCTAAAAGTCGAATTAGAAGAAAACGACGACTTAAACTGCACAGATAACAGCTTATCAGAACAATTAACGAATAACGCACAAACAAGAGCCTTAAAATTAGAATTAGAAAATCGCAAGTTACTCTCAACCATCGAATCGTTAAAAGAACAAACCTTCCATGAGAATTCAAAAAAAATTTTAGATCTAGAAAAAGAAAAGAAAAAATTAACCCTAAAAGTCGAACAATTACAAGAAAATTGCGAACGCTTCACCCAACAACAAATTGAACTGGAGAATTTATTTAAAAATGCTTTACAAGAAAGTCGAAAATTACAGGATTCTTTGGATACGGCTAAGATTCTTTCAGATAGGCAACAACAAGAGTTGCAAAATGAAAGGACTAAAATCGCCGAATTTGAAAGAAACGTCGAAAATTTAACGAAAGAAAAACAAAGGGTTCAGAGTTTGTGTGATACGGTGAAAAGAAGAGCTGATGATGCTGAAAAATCGTTTAATACGGCTACTGAAAAAATTGATTTGTTACAAATTGAAGCTGATAAAGTCAAAAATTTAGATAAAAATTGCGAAGATTTAAGGAATAAGGTAAATTCTTTGGAAAAAGAAAATGGGAATATGCACGAAAATGTTTTAAGATTAAAAGAAATAATTGAGGTAAATATTTTAATTAATATGAAAAATCTCGATATAACGCGGTTTAATGAAAAATATACAACAATCTAATGATGAATAACAATTAAAATTAGATTAGATTAACACCGCTGTAGAATTTAAAAAAATCGATTTTTTTATTGGATCTTAAAGATTCTTGAAACTTTGTAGAATAAGAAGAAAACATTCTATATTTGTAAAAAATATTGTTGCGCGAAATTTCTGCTATCTGCCAAGAACACTTCATTACTATATTACAGCATTTGAATCAAAATGCGGTTTCAAATGTTAACATTTTAATATCTCCTAAACCAGCGATTTCTAATTCGATTTAATTATGGACCCCTAAAATCGTTTGTGTTCGCCATGAACTCCTATACTAAATAAAAAAATTAAACCCCTGGACAAATTAATAAAGCGTTCGTTTTCGGTGTCAGCAACTCTAAAAAGAGGATACTTTAATTAATAATTGGCGATATTTCCAAGATCCTTCAAGAAATAAATTTTATAGCAAATTTTGAAAATTATCAATGAAAATTGCAACATAGAAAATTTTATCAAAACTTCTAATATTGTTTTCTCAAAAACTAAAAGTTATTTTTGAAAACGTGATGGTTCATTGGAAAAAGGAGACTCTTATTAACACTTTGGGAAATTTTCATACTCATATTCCAAGAAATGGATTTTATACGAATTTTTAAAACTTAATCTTCGAAAAAATTGTCGGTTATTTGAAAAATTTATTTCTCAAAAACTAAAAGTGATTTCTCAAAACGGCTTTTTGCATTAAAAAGAGGATATTTTAATTAATAATTAGTGATATTTCCACAAGGATCCTACAAGAAATCAATTTTATAGCGAATTTTCAACATCGAAAATTTTATCAAAACCTCAAATATTGTTTTCTCAAAAATTAAAAGTTATTTTTCAAAACGGCTTCGTTCATTGGAAAGAGGACGCTTTTATTAACACTTTGGAAAATTTTCATACTCATATTCCAAGAAATGGAAGAAAGAAGAAAACTGGACTTATATAAAAATAATAACAATAGCAAATACGAAAAGAAATACATATATAAAACAAATATAAAAAAGAGTCCAAAAGGGCTATAGACCTTAGTCTTCCTGCCCGTGACTTTGAATTCGGTTTGGAAGTACTTAGGTCTTCTCAGTTGGGCCTTATTTTTTTAAGAAGTGTGAGCCGTGTTATGGGCAGTGGGTAAGGGAGGGGGGAATGATGATGAAATTTTTTAGGGCGTTTATGGGGAAGTTCATAATTACTTTAAGGGATAAGGATTGTAGACGGGAGTTTATAGGAGGCAAGAAATGGATTTTATACGAATTTTTAAAACTTAAGCGGCGAAAATTGCAAGACTCGAAAAAATTTTCGATCATTTTAAAAATTTATTTCTCAAAAACTAAAAGTGATTTTTTAAAACGGCTTGTTGCATTAAAAAGAGGATGCTTTAATTAATAATTGGTCATATTTCCACAAAGATCCTTCAAGAAATTAATTTTATAGCGAATTTTAAAAATTATCGATGAAAATTGCAACATCGAAAATTTTATCAAAGCTTCAAATATTCTTTTCTCAAAAACGAAAAGTTATTTTTCAAAACGTGATGGTTCATTGGACAAAGGACACTCTTATTAACACTTTGGGAAATTTTCAAACTCATATTCCAAGAAATGGATTTTATACGAATTTTTAAAACTTAAGCGTCGAAAATTTCAAAATTCGAAAAAATTGTCGATCATTTCAAAAATTTATTTCTCAAGAACAGAAAGTGCTTTTTCAAAACGGCTTTTTGCATTAAAAAGAGGATACTTTAATTAATAATTGGTGATATTTCCACAAGGATCCTTCAACAAATGAATTTTATACCGAATTTTGTAAGTTATCTTAAATACGTTAAAACTTCAAATATTCATCAAATAAATAATTTTTCAAAACGGGTTGGTTCATTGGAAAGAAGATACTTTTATTAACACTTTCAAAAATTTTCATACTCATATTCCAAGAAATGGATTTGATACGAATTTCAATTTCAAAGTTTTATTACTGAACAGTTTTCGCACTAGTAATAACCGAAAATTTAATAAAAAATAACTAATATTTGTGGCAGTAATTTTGACTAGAAAAAAGATAATTTTTCTACCAGAAATGTCAGCTACTTTTTGTTTTAACACGTAATTGTTACCCAAAACCCAATTAGAAGAAAATCAAACAAAACTAAATCTAAAAAAACGTATTCTTTTACCCTGTATAATAATTAACTTACTTTCTTCTTTAAAGGATTTTTGCGAACCTTCACTAAGAACACGAACACTTATAGATTTAAAAGAAGAAGTAGAAGGAAAAGTTAACTTATAACGACAAAGTAGTTTCTAAGAAACAAAATAGAAAAGTTAAAAATCCCTCAAATGCGTAATATTACCAACCTCGACACATATTACCAACACCAACGAAAATCCGCAGCATAACAAGTGTTCCGAGACATAGTGTGATTGGAAAAACGCGTAAGCAAATGCATTTCATCATAAGTTGCCTCTAACCAATTTATTTGTGAGGAGCTAACTCGTGACAATTTGCTTACAAAACAGCAACGACAGCTTCAATTCTACTGTTTGGANATTCCAAGAAATGGAAGAAAGAAGAAAACTGGACTTATATAAAAATAATAACAATAGCAAATACGAAAAGAAATACATATATAAAACAAATATAAAAAAGAGTCCAAAAGGGCTATAGACCTTAGTCTTCCTGCCCGTGACTTTGAATTCGGTTTGGAAGTACTTAGGTCTTCTCAGTTGGGCCTTATTTTTTTAAGAAGTGTGAGCCGTGTTATGGGCAGTGGGTAAGGGAGGGGGGAATGATGATGAAATTTTTTAGGGCGTTTATGGGGAAGTTCATAATTACTTTAAGGGATAAGGATTGTAGACGGGAGTTTATAGGAGGCAAGAAATGGATTTTATACGAATTTTTAAAACTTAAGCGGCGAAAATTGCAAGACTCGAAAAAATTTTCGATCATTTTAAAAATTTATTTCTCAAAAACTAAAAGTGATTTTTTAAAACGGCTTGTTGCATTAAAAAGAGGATGCTTTAATTAATAATTGGTCATATTTCCACAAAGATCCTTCAAGAAATTAATTTTATAGCGAATTTTAAAAATTATCGATGAAAATTGCAACATCGAAAATTTTATCAAAGCTTCAAATATTCTTTTCTCAAAAACGAAAAGTTATTTTTCAAAACGTGATGGTTCATTGGACAAAGGACACTCTTATTAACACTTTGGGAAATTTTCAAACTCATATTCCAAGAAATGGATTTTATACGAATTTTTAAAACTTAAGCGTCGAAAATTTCAAAATTCGAAAAAATTGTCGATCATTTCAAAAATTTATTTCTCAAGAACAGAAAGTGCTTTTTCAAAACGGCTTTTTGCATTAAAAAGAGGATACTTTAATTAATAATTGGTGATATTTCCACAAGGATCCTTCAACAAATGAATTTTATACCGAATTTTGTAAGTTATCTTAAATACGTTAAAACTTCAAATATTCATCAAATAAATAATTTTTCAAAACGGGTTGGTTCATTGGAAAGAAGATACTTTTATTAACACTTTCAAAAATTTTCATACTCATATTCCAAGAAATGGATTTGATACGAATTTCAATTTCAAAGTTTTATTACTGAACAGTTTTCGCACTAGTAATAACCGAAAATTTAATAAAAAATAACTAATATTTGTGGCAGTAATTTTGACTAGAAAAAAGATAATTTTTCTACCAGAAATGTCAGCTACTTTTTGTTTTAACACGTAATTGTTACCCAAAACCCAATTAGAAGAAAATCAAACAAAACTAAATCTAAAAAAACGTATTCTTTTACCCTGTATAATAATTAACTTACTTTCTTCTTTAAAGGATTTTTGCGAACCTTCACTAAGAACACGAACACTTATAGATTTAAAAGAAGAAGTAGAAGGAAAAGTTAACTTATAACGACAAAGTAGTTTCTAAGAAACAAAATAGAAAAGTTAAAAATCCCTCAAATGCGTAATATTACCAACCTCGACACATATTACCAACACCAACGAAAATCCGCAGCATAACAAGTGTTCCGAGACATAGTGTGATTGGAAAAACGCGTAAGCAAATGCATTTCATCATAAGTTGCCTCTAACCAATTTATTTGTGAGGAGCTAACTCGTGACAATTTGCTTACAAAACAGCAACGACAGCTTCAATTCTACTGTTTGGATATTAGCTCCAAAGTCATGTACAAATGGTAAAAAGGTTTTGATTAGTGGTGGAACGGATATACGGCAAAAAATGGCCGTATAGGCCGGATACCGGATAGTTAAATTTCCGGCTATGACTTTTTTCATTGAATACAACCTTATTTATATCAAGTTTGTCATTAGCAACCTCATAGTAACAATCCCAATACGACATATAAAATCTCTTATTGCAGTTTCATCTAGGTCTCTTCTCTTCGCTTGTAATTCATTATTACATTCATTACTAACAGAACTGTCGCTGTTATCACTTTCGATTATTAATTAAAGTATCCTCTTTTTAATGCAAAAACCCGTTGTGAAAAATCACTTTCAGTTCTTGAGAAATAAATTTTTGAAATGATCGACAATGTTTTCGTATTTTGCAATTTTCGCCGATTAAGTTTTAAAAATTCGTATAAAATCCATTCCTTGGAATATGAGTATGAAAATTTCCCAAAGTGTTAATAAGAGTGCCTTCTTTCCAATGAACCAACACGTTTTGAAAAATAACTTTTAGTTTTTGAGAAAACAATATTTGAAGTTTTGATAAAATTTTCGATATTACAATTTTCATCGATAACTTTCAAAATTGGCTATAAAATTAATTTCTTGAAGGATTCTTTGTGGAAATATCACCAATTATTAATTAAAGTATCCTCTTTTTAATGCAACAAGCTGTTTTGAAAAATCACTTTTAGTTCTTGAGAAATACATTTTTGAAATAAACGACAATTTTTTCGAATTTTACAATTTTCGCCGATTAAGATTTAAAAATTCGTATAAAATCCATTTCTTGGAATATGAATATGAAAATTTCCCAATGTGTTAATAAGAGTGTCCTCTTTCCAATGAACCATCACGTTTTGAAAAATAACTTTTAGTTTTTGAGAAAACAATATTTGAAGTTTTGATAAAATTTTCGATGTTGCAATTTTCATCGATAATTTTCAAAATTCGCTATAAAATTAATTTCTTGAAGGATCCTTGTGGAAATATCACCAATTATTAATTAAAGTATCCTCTTTATAATGCAACTAGCCGTTTAGAAAAATCGCTTTTAGTTTTTGAGAAATAAATTTTTGAAAAGATCGACAATTTTTCAATTTTTGCAATTTTCGCCGATTAAGTTTTAAAAATTCGTACAAAATCCATTTCTTGGAACATGAGTATGAAAATTTCCAAAAGTGTTAATAACAGTGTCCTCTTTGCAATGATCCAACACGTTTTGAAAAATAACTTTTAGTTTTTGAGAAAACAATAAATGAAATAGATGAAAACAATTTTCATCGATAATTTTCAAAATTCGCTATAAAATTCATTTCTTGAAGGATCCTTGTGGAAATATCGCCAATTATTAATTAAAGTATCTTCTTTTTAGAGTTATTCGTGAGTTAAATCACCATCAAAAAAGTTCATTTTGTATCTTGGATCCAAATAAGTTGACATATCTTATCAGCTTTTTTATTAATTGCATTTTTATTCAAATATCGCAATAATGTGGCAATGTAGGGTATCACTTCAGAAATGCACCAGAAGTTATAACCACAATGGCCGGATAGATATGCCGGATGTCCGGCCGAAGGAGATGCCGAATATCCGATATCCGGCTTTCCGCAAAATCACCATCCGTTCCATCACTAGTTTTGATCATAACGACTGATATTGCAGCTATTTTTGCCGCGAGGGAGGCACGCTTCAGCATTAAAGCAGCAAGAAAAGAAAATGACGATGAATTTGAGAACAGAGAAGGGCAGCTTTATGGTCCTGGCATAGCAGATTAATGGTAAAAAATTATAAGCAGTTAATTTTTAATTTTTTCATAACCAAAATTTTAAATACGTTTTTCTCGAAACACGATTTTATAAAATGGCACGCAGCATAACTCCAACAATTTTCATTCAATCGATTTAAACTTTTCACCACATATTTGAAATTACATTCTACAGGGAAGTACGTAGGGAATTTGCGATAAGTTGATTTCAGAATTTTTATTAAGTTATTGTTCACTTTTGTTGTAAAAAAATTAACTTTTTTACAACTATAATTTTTTATAATACAATTTTTTTTGTGCTTTTCAATGCATGCTTAAGTATTATTCTCCTAAAACTTTATCCTCTATTATAATAACAAAATCGCAAAGAAACGCTATATTTTAGATTTCTACAGTGGTGTTACCCCTTAAATACCTACTTTCATTATATCCGAAATCCGTTCTAACGAGATCCGTTATATCGAAGTTTTACTATACATAAATTAATATTTTATTTATTTTTGTATTTAAAAAGAAAAAGGATGTAAATTTAGATCAATACTCCGAATCGTGTGAAAAATTCGAAAAAGAAATTCAAAAATTAATCAAAGAAAAAGATGCAGTAAACTGCCAAATCGAAAAGCTTCAAGAATACGAAAAAAAATCCCAAGAATTATTATCGCAAGCCACAGTTTATACGGAAACCATATCGACCCTTCAAAGAGATTTAATTTCGGAGAAAATCAACAACGAAAAATTAAAAATCGGCGTTGAAAAGCTGGGTTTAAATTTAGACGTTTTAGAGAACGATATGAATGTAATCGTTGAAAAAATCCTCCAAAACCCCGATTTCGTAAACATCTTAAAACGTAATTTTAAGTATTCTGATCACAATGAAATTGTTTGCAAAAAATGTACTTCTCCGATGACTTCTTTAGATGACACTAACTTATCAAAAGAAACCGATTTATTATCACAAACTGAACAGGTCGTTTCGTCAATTAGTGCCGAATGGAATAAACAATGCGAAAAATTGTGTTCAGAATTAACCGGGGTACAACAACTCAATAAACAATTACAAACGGAAAACGCAAAAATGTTGGTTAATATAACAACTTTAACGTCACAAGTTAATACTTTAACCGCACAACAAACTGCTTTACAATTAGCTAATAGCCAATTGGTGGCCGAAAAAGATGAAGTAATTTAATTAATTCTATTTGATCAAAATTTTTGTATTAATTATTTAATTTTTCATAGTTGGCTGAACAACAAAAAACGCAAAATAAAGAACATGATACCTTGTTATTGGATCAAGTAACAATCCGAACATTACACGAACAACTCACCGGCGAATACGAGCAGTTAAAAAAAGAATTAGAATCGGTGAGAAAATTAAATCGCGATTTAAGATCAGAAATAAGAGTGTTAAAAGATTCCAACGTGTCTTTCGAAAAGAAATTGGGTAATTTAGAGCAAGAAAAAGATGCGTTGAAGAATGAATCGAAAACGTTGGGAAATTTAAGAGCTGAACATTCAAAATTAAAGGTTTTTAATTTTAATTAATTATATTTTTTAATTTAATTATTTTTTTTTTAGGATGATTTTAGAAATTTATTCACAGCTAATGAACGCTTAAAATCGGAATATCGCGGTTTACAAGATGAATATAGAAATTTAAAAGCAGAAATGGGAAGATTAAGACTTGGAAATACTGAAATGCAAGGTGAATTGAGTACTAGATCTGATATGGCTGCAGGGTTACAATTAGAAAATGCTAAATTGCAACAAAAATGTGATGTACGTTATTTTTTATTAAGATTGATTAAAATTAATTAATTAAAATGATTTTTTTTAGATGTTATTTGAAATGAATCACACTTTAGACGCTGATAGAAGGGCTTTAATGGATCACGTCTCGCAACTTTTATCGCAATATCATTCATTGTTAACACATTCTTTGGAAGATAAACAACAATATCATATGGAAGAGAAATTATTTACGGATAAATTAAATAATTTATGTAGACAGAAAGAGAAATTGGAAGAAAAAATCATGGAACATTATCGAAAACTTGATAACGCATCAGCTAAAAAGTGACTTTAATTTTTAAATTAATCATTTTTATTTTTTAAACGATTTTTAGGAAAGGATTTGGGGCAACTTTAGTTCGTAGAGTTCGTAAAGCAAGTTCTGATATAATCAATAAAACGACTAGAGTAATTTTTTCTTTTTTATTTTTGGGAAATTTTATTTCATTTTTTTTTTTTATTTATTAGAATCGGCGTTCTTGGCACGAAGATGGTCGTTTAAACCAATCCCAATTCACAGTTGGTGCTGGATCCGGAGAATCTGCTGGAAACGACTCAGACAATAGCATCGAAGATTCTGCCCAACGTGGTGAAACTTTAAAACGGTCTACAGGAAGTTTGCACGGTCATAAACCAAGAGATGAAATCGCCCTTCGAAGAGGATCTCATCGAGATGTTACTTCCCATAGAAATAGTGTAACTGGTAAGTTAAAGAAAGAAAATAAATTAATGTTAATACGCGAATTATTAGTCATTCTAGACATAAGAATTCAGTTAATTTCACTTAACATGCAATGTACAAAAATATATTTCCATAGAAACCTACTTACTTTGTCCCACATAAAATATAACATGTCAATACAATTTGATTTTAACAGTAAAACTTCGATATAACGGATCAATACAGGGAACAAGTAAAACTAGACTAACACTAGGACTAGAATTAAGATTAGACATAGAACTCGTAACATTCCGTTTAGCCACACCTCTCTTAAGACTGCTGGTAGGTGATAGGTAGCGCTAGTTGTTCTAAAATATCACTATTGTATATTTTTATTACACTAAAATTAGAACTAACGCTAGACCTAAAACTAGAATTATTTGGGTTTAGCCGCACATCTCTCAAAACGGCTAAACCCGAATTATGAGTAAGTGACAGTGTAAGTGTAAAACTAGAACTAACACTATACCTAGAACTAGAATCATTTGGGTTTAGTTGCACGCCTCTCAAGACGGCTAAACCCGTATAGTGTTAGATCTACATAGTAATAGTGCTATTGTAAAACTAGAACTAACACTAGACCTAGAACTAGAAATATTCGGGTTACTTTCTAGTTCTAGGTCTAGTGTTAGTTCTAATTTTAGTTTAATAAAAATATGCAACATAGTGATATATAGTGATATAACTAGCGCTACCTATCACTGTAATAAATGAATAATTCTCACCTAAGTAAACAAGGCTTGTGTGCGCCTTTGTGTTTTGGCTTTGGCGGAGTTAACATTTTAGTAGTTCCGTAGTTTTCAGACTATATTTTGGGTGCGTTTTATCATCCGAAGGTACCATTAAAATATATTTTTCAATAAATCGTCTCTAAATTTGAGGTGCGTCTTATAGTCCGAAAAATACAGTATATTTTTCTGAAAAAAGATATTATTCAAAATGATTTCAGTTTTCCTAAAGATAGAAAAAAAATTTATTTTTAACTATAAATTGTCACAAAACAATTTAAAGATTTTTTTAGTGCAGTTAGGCGACGTTGTGGGTATTGTAACAATCCTACTGCACTACAATGGTACAAACGGGATTTGTACCATTGGTAATATCTAGTCTTCTGACAACATAATTTGGTCCTCTGACAGTAAAATTAAGTCTTCTGCTAACAGTATTTGGTTTTTAGTAGTTGTGTGTAGTTTTCTGTAAGAAGGATGTGCGTCATTTGCAATATCTAGTCTTTCACTAGCAATACTTAGTCTTCTGCCAGCAATATTTAGTCTTTTGCAGCAATATCTAGTCTTCAACTAACAGTATTTCGTCTTCTGGTAGTAGTGTGAAGTCTTCTGTAAAAAGAATCTGCTTCATTTGCAACATCTAATGTTTCATTAGTAATACTTAGTCTTCTGCCAGCAATATCTAGTTTCTTTCAGCAATTGAGGCGTTTAAGTTTATATTTTCTAATAATTTTCCAAAACACTGCCAAGCCACTATTAAGCTACCACGTGCACGATAATAAACTTATAGTTTGCATTTATAAGTGCCATTAAAGCAATCGAATTCACTTTTTTGTGAATTCAGTATTCCAAATAATTAACAACGTGATAACGAATGTTGATATTTGTTGATACCCAGCTCTAATCTACGCCAAATTCATGGTTTCACCCAACAGCTTCTTTTTATTTTTTCTGTTTGTTGTTTTTTTAATTTTGTACAATACTATTGCACTTGCAATTTTGTTTACATCCATGTGTACACACACCATACACTGAAAGAAAATAAATTTTACTTTTCATAACACGGACACATTTCACTAGTGGAGAGAAAGCTCTCTGAAGCTCTTTTATAGAATCTCTCGGAGAGCTAAAACAGTCTCAAGTGGATACACAGTTGAGAGTAGATATCGAGAGTTACTCTCAGAAGTTTTTCTCAAGTGGACACCTCGTTTAAAGCTAGGTGTCCACTTGCGAGAAATGCTCTCGAGAGAAGCTATCGAGAGTTTTTTTTTTCTGGTGGACACGCATCTGAGAGTAACTATCAGAGTCCCCACCAACTTTCGGAGAGTGAATAGGTTGAGAGTTGTACTCAAGTGGACACCCACAATTTATCTATCGTGAGACTAACTGTCAAAAAACGAACACAGTTCGAATTTTGCTGCGCGTAACTGCGAGTTTTCTCAATATAACACGTTTAAAGATGACGCCTAAAAGAAAATGGTTCCAAGAAGAAATATTTGAATTAATTGAACTGTATGAAGAAAATTCAGTTTTTGGAATACCAAATCTAAAGAACATAGAAATCGGGAAGCGAGGGATGCAATTATTGCAAGTATTGGACAGAAATTTAAACGGGAGTTATACCATTGGTAATATCTAGTCTTCTGACAACATAATTTAGTCTTCTGACAGTAAAATTAAGTCTTCTGCTAACAGTATTTGGTTTTTAGTAGTTGTGTGTAATTTTCTGTAAGAAGGATGTGCGGCATTTGCAATATCTAGTCTTTTACTAGCAATACTTAGTCTTCTGCCAGCAATATTTAGTCTTTTGCAGCAATATCTATTCTTCTACCAACAGTATTTCGTCTTCTGGTAGCGGTGTGAAGTTAAAGACGCACGGCTAAACCCGAAAGTTTCTAGTTCTAGTTTTAATTGTTATGTAGCTAGACCAAGAACTAGAATCATTCGGCTGTTAGTTCTAGTGACAGTGCAAGTGTAAAACTAGAACTAACACTATATCTAAAACTAGAATCATTTGGGTTTAGCCGTATGTCTCTAAAGACGGCAAACCCGAATGATTCTAGTTCTAGGTATAGTTTTAATTGTTATGCAGCGCTAGACCAAGAACTAGACTCCTTCGGGTTTAGCCGTCTTAAGAGACGTACGGCCAAACCCAAATGTTTCTAGTTCTAGATCTAAAGCTAGGTGTCCAGTTGCGAAAAAGCTATCTGGAGTATTTTTTCTGATGGACACGCATTTGACAATGAGAGTAACTATCAGAGAGTCTTCACCAACTTTCGGAGAGTGAACAGGTTGAGACTTGTACTCAAGTGGATACGCACAATTTAACTATCGTGAGAGTAACTGTCAAAAAACGAACACGGTTGGAATTTTGCTGCGAGTAGCTGCGAGTTTTCTTAATATAACACGTTTAAAAATGACGCCTAAAAGAAAATGGTCCCAAGAAGAAATATTTGAATTAATTGAACTGTATGAAGAAAATTCAGTTTTTGGAATACCAAATCTAATCAATTTTAACAAGTATTGGGCAGACATTTAAACGGGATTTGTGCCATTGGTAATATGATGTGCTTGATTTGCAATATCTAGTCTTTCACTAGCAATGCTTAGTCTTCTGCTTCGCTTGAAACCATAAATTTATTTTTTTCAATACGGTGCAAATCGGTGAATAACTTTGCTTCTCTTACCGTTTCCGAGTTAACAATACTGAATCGATTATATTGGACGCTTATATATTAAAAAAAGTATAAATTCACCACAAAAGCCACCACACACTTTAACACCATCAAGTAGGAACTCACCAAGACCACTGTCATGGCGGCAATGAGGCGAAAAGCTTCAAAAAGGTTCCAATCCAATATGGCGGAAAGCTTCTAGAATGTTCTAGAAGCTTCTAGAAGAACGGAAACGAAGTAATTTTTGAGCGTTAAATAGAAAGGTATATAAAAATGGGCAATTTTTTTTTGTTTTAAAGCATATACAATTTCTTTCTAAATTAACAATTAATATATGTACTTTTCTATGAGGTCCGTTTTAAAAAATTACTTAGACATTTAGTCTTTTGCAGCAATATCTAGTCTTCTACCAACAGTATTTCCTCTTCTGGTGGTAGTGTGAAGTCTTCTCTAAGAACAATTTGCTTCATTTGCAACATCTAGTCTTTCATTAGTAATACCTAGTCTTCTGCCAGCAATACCTAGTCTCATTCAGCAATTGAGGCGTTTAAGTTTATATTTTCTAATAATTTTCCAAAATACTGCCAAGCCACTGTTAAGCTATCACGTGCACGATAATAAACTTATAGTTTGCATTTATAAGTGCCATTAAAGCAAGCGAGTTCACTTTTTTGTGAATCCATATGCCAAATAACTAACAATTTGATAACGAATGTTGATATTTGTTAATACCCAGCTCTAATCTACGCCAAATCCACGGTTTCACCCAACAGCTTTTTTTTTATTTTTTCTTTGTTTTTTTTTTTAATTTTGTTTAAGTAGATATCGAGAGTTACTCTCAGAAGTTTTTCTCTAGAGTCAACGGAGAGTGAACAGGTTGAGACTTGTACTCAAGTGGACACTCACAATTTATCTATCGTGAGAGTAATTGTCAAAAAGCGAACACGGTTCGAATTTTACTGCGAGTAGCTGCGAGTTTTCTCAATATAACACGTTTAAAGATGGCACCTAAAAGAAAATGGTCCTAAGAAGAAATATTTGAATTAATTGAAGTGTATGAAGAAAATTCAATTCTTTGGAATACCAAATCTAAAGAACATAGAAATCGGGAAGCGAGGGATGCAATGTTAACAAGTATTGGACAGAAATTTAAACGGGATTTGTACCATTGGTAATATCTAGTCTTCTGACAACATAATTTGGTCTTCTGACAGTAAAATTAAGTCCTCGACTAACAGTATTTAGTTTTTTAGTAGTAGTGTGTAGTCTTCTGCGAGAAGGCTGTGCTTCATTTGCAATATCTAGTCTTTCACTAGCAATGCTTAGTCTTCTGCTAGCAACATCTAGTGTTTTGTAGCAATATCTAGTCTTTTACCAACAGTATTTCGTCTTCTGGCAGTAGAGTGAAGTCTTCTGTAAGAAGAATCTGCTTGATTTGCAACATCTAGTCTTTCATTAGTTATACTTAGTATTCTGCCAGCAATATCTAGTCTCTTTCAGCAATTGAGGCGTTTAAATTTCTATTTTCTAATAATTTTCCAAAATACTGCCGAGCCACTATTAAGCTATCACATGCATT